TTCGAAGTTCCTGTTCCGAGGGGAAACGACTTCGGCCTCCTCCTGCTTTGTTTTCCTGGCGGCACAGATGAAGCCAAGGGCGAAGCTGACAGCCGCGGGGCGGTTGGGCCAGAGCTCCTCCGTGCGCCCCGGCCGCAGGATGAAGGCGGGCCAGGTGAGACTTGCCTTCCTGCGCGGGTGAGAGCAGGCTGGAAGGTCACTGCCTTTTACCAACACGCTGTTCAGACAGTTTTCTTACAGGAAGATGACGCTTGGTACTCTTTCGCATTTTAATTTTTTTAAAAGCAGTTTCACATGCGTTTGTGATTCTCCTAAGTGCTTTTGCCTTTTCAAGATTTTTTTTTCCTGAATATAAATATATATCGAACAGAGATCATTGCGAGAAAATTTAGAGATACAAAGAGGAAAAAAATTACCTCTACTATTGTACCTATACAAAAAGTTACCAAAGTGCAAAATCGCCATTGACGTTTCTTTCCGTTTCTCTTCATGCCCTATTTCATCTCTCAGATTTCCTGCATCCCTTTGATGTAGGTAGGCCAGGAGCAAGGGTGTCTGAGGCAATGATGGGAAAACTGATGAAATTCCGCAACCTGCCCACGGGCTCACAGAAAACTTGTAGAAGACCCCAAGCTGGACCCCGGTGGCCTTTTGGAACACCCCCAGATGTCTCTGCTTCATGGGTCCCCTGAGCTGTGACCAGTGGTCCATGTGTTTTACACCTCCGTGCTTTTTTGTTATTAATTTCATTATTTAAAACAACCTCGGGCCCGCCAAATAACTCAGTGGATTAAAGTGTCTGCTTAGACACAGGGGCCTGGAGTTCAATCCTGGGTCTGCCGTGCAGGCCCTGCCCCCAGGGCGGGCTGAGACAGCAATTGAGACTGGCCATGGTGCCGCCCACCTGTAATCCTAGCACTTGGGAGGCTGTAAACAGGAGGACCTCTAGGAGACAGATCCACTCAGTGAGACTCTGTACACCCTGTCCTAAATAGCAAAAATAAATAAAACCACCTCACAGATGCCTCTGCCGAAGCAGTATCGGCATTCGTACGCCCACCCAGGAGGTTATGTTGCAATGGAGAACAAGGGTGTCAGATACAGTTTGTTCAGGTGTGAGCTAAGCTTATTGGCAGGGAGTTCCCACAGAAAGCAAGGTTGTGTAATGATCGGTTTGCACTGTGGGCAGAGGCTTGCAGGAACCTGATTGTGTATTACCCTGAGGAGAGATGCTTCAGTATTTGCTAATTCGTTCTTGACAGTGACCTTGTAGGACACAACTACCGTGAAAAACTAGAATTGATTGAATTATTGTTGGTGCTGTTGTTGTTACGGCCTAATAGCAAGTGGTACAGCCTCTCAGGAGAATGAGGGTCTGTCCTGCAGGGTGTATTTCTGCATTCTGTAAATGTTGGACAGCTGTCTTGGGCTCTTACCCCAGTGGTACTGAGGGCCTGAAGACTTTTCGCAAGGCCACCGCGTGGCATCTTGAAGGGGACTCCTGCCCTTTCCTCCCCGGGGAGCAATGTATCCCCAGTAGGACACCTGACACCTTGATCTGAGGCTCTCCCACTCCTGCCTGCATCAGGACAGACCTTCACAAGTGAGAGTGGGTTCACTTAGTTAGAGGGCTGCTTGGGGAGTGTTTATGTCAGAGTCCTGCAAGGCTGGCCGCCAGCCCTACCTTCACTGTTTTTTGTTTTTTGGGTTTTTTTGGTGGGGGGGAGGTATAAGACAACCCACTCTGGGAGGATTTCTATGGTCCTGCTTTGACACCTCCCAGTCACCTTGGCAGGCATACAGATTAGACCCCAATACCCAAACATCTGTTTTGAGAGAAAAATGTTTACCTCTCACAAATTGGTAATAGGAAAAAACACATAACCTGTGCAGAAGTCTCACAATTTCAGTACAGTAAGGATGAATAAATCAGAACACCTATAGATTTTCTTACTTCTTAAAAAAGATTAAGGAAAACCTCACTTGATAAAATAGCTAATGAAAGAGGGAAACTATTCAGAGGAACAATTTTGGCTTTCTGTTTATTTTTTACTTTTGTTTCTTGTTTTTTATTTATTTTTTCTTCCTCAGGAATCTTGAAGCTTATTTTTCTAAGAAATTCCAAAGGAGGTGATGTCAAGAATCTACCATATAATGATGCAGTTCAATTGGTTAATGGGTTATAAATAGATGTTTGTATTTACTGTGAATTGCAATTTCATAAGGACACTTATGTTGTCAACCAAAGTAACCATTCCTAGTGAAAGATAATTCCTTATTCAATTATAAGAAAATAAGAGAATAATTAGAGAATAAGCAAATTGTATTCCTGTCACTACATATGTTATGAAAATAATTAGCTATGCTTAAAATATATATCTTCACTGGAACTGTCCATAAAAATGCAAAATGTAAAAGATGTGAGAATCAAACGCTGTAAAAAACCAAATTATTATAGTTGACAGAGCCTGCCAGGACTCAGACAAATCCAAGAAAATGAGCATAAAGCAAGGAGCTCATGCGCATTGTCAATAAATATCAGCATAAATCTCAAGCACTGTAAAAACTATGCCACTAAACCATATGGAGATGCCTTTTTTTTTTTTTTTTTTTTAAACCTAGAGATTAGCAAAAAACCATGGTTTTGGCAACAAGTAATCAACACTGAGAAATGCTAGAGAAAATAGTTCTCAGACATGGCTGGTGGAGGCACGCTGCAGGAATTTGTCAACCCAATGAAATTTTAATAGCGTTTATTATCTGGTGCAGAAGTCCCAGTTCTTGGCATGTGTTACACAAATGTACCAGCACACATAAGAAAGCACTATTCAAAGGCATTCATTGCAACTTTATTTAAAAGCGGGAATGACTGGAGGGCCATCCAAGTGTGTGATAGGGGTGTGTTTGGTCACATGAGCTGTAGCATTTCTGCGTAACAAAATACTATGTGTTATTAGAAAGAACAAGTGGTACATCATGAGTGAATCTTGGAATCATCGTGTGGCGCAGAAGAAGCAGTTACAGGGGACCACATATTGCATGATTCTGTGTGTGTGAAATATCCTGAATAGCGATCTGTAGAGACAGCAAGTAGATTAGCGGTTGCCTTGGGCAAAGAGACCAGAGTGCGCTGGGGCACTTACGGAGTGGAGCTGCTAAGGGTGCTGGACTATTTTTGGAGGTAATAAAAATACTACTGATTGTATTGAAGGAGGAAAAACTCTGAATATAGTAAAAAAAAAAATTAAATTGTATGCTTCAAGTGGGTGAATGTGGATTATGTTGTTAATGATCTCGCTCTCTTTCTTTTTTGGTACTGGGAATCAAACTCAGGACCTTGCACTTGCCAGTCAAGCACCTGTGACATTGAACTACATCCCTGGTCCTGTTAATGATACCTTAATAAAGCTGTTTAAAAAAAATGAAATTACTATCATTGTAAAAGGTCTCTAAGAATATATTAAGTGAAAAAGTGTCATCCAGAACAGGCAAAGATTTTTAATCTTTCAAGTTAGAAACAAGGACAGTGGGCTGGGGAGATAGCTCAGCAACATTAGCACCTGCCTGGCAAGCACAAGGTCTTGAGTTCAATCCCCCCCCATGTACCCCCACATGCAAAGAAAAAACACCAAACAGGGACAATTAAAATGTGCCATCTTTTATTTTGTATTTTAGGGAAGAGATATCTACAGGGTGTTCAGGGTGTCACTACTAGATCGGACTCAGTGATCAGCCTGTTTATAACCTCCCAAGAGCTGGGATTGCAGGTGTGCGCCCCCACTTGCCGTCTCAACGCAGCCCTGGAGCAGGAGCGGGAGCTGGCTCGGCAGACCTAGGGATCGAACCCTGGCCCCTGCGCCTGCTTTGGTCACATAAAGAAACACTGGGAAGGAAGAGAAACTCAAAACTAATTAAGGTGCTCACCTGGTGAGGAGACCATAGCCAGCGCCCTTTGTGTCCAGGTGTTTGTTGTACTTCTTGTCTTGAGACACCAATGTGCTAGGACTGGAGCAGCCACCGTACTTTCTTAGCACTCTTTCGATCTTGGGGGACTATTTTACGTTATCCAAACACGCAATAGTTTTTCCAGGCAGCTTAATCACACTGCCCTGATCGTTTGAGTAGCCAATGTCTGCACTTAGCCTCATGAAAATGATGGTGAAAGTCCCAGCCAGAACTGTGCAAAGAAGCACGCTAATGCGCTGATGGATCGGCGTCATGGAGCAAGTGTCCCTGAGCGCCAACGAGGGCGTTGCCCAGTCTCCATTCTGACCCCTCAGCTTCCGTCCAGATGTCTCTAGCAGCTGCACAGTAAGGTCCCCAGCATCCAGACGTTGTCACCCGCACACATGCCTCGAGTGTGTCCAGGAGCAGAGACGGGGGCCAGCGAGGTGGGGAGCAGGCTCACCTGCACGCAGTGCTTTGAACGCGCAGTCGAGTTCTGCTTCCTGCCTTCCTGAGGAAAGAAAGTTATGTAATTCACGTGTTTGAAAATGTAAGTACAATCTCAGGCTTTTCAGTCTTTCGAATCCCCTGCACGGTGGCGGCAGATCAAGCCTTGGCACTGCGTATGTTCTGGGTGCAGCTGTTGGGAGGTCGGGCATTGATGCCAACGCACTGGCCGGATGATGCCATCCTAGGGAACACCGCCCGGGGGCCCAAAACCGTGCCCTGGGCACTCACTTTCCAGTGTGCCAGCCTGAGGATCTATTGGGACCCCTTGTTGCAGGCAGCCTGAGTTAGATAGAAATATTGTAGGTAGTTAGA